GTGAAGTAGAAGGAACATTTTTTACAAATAAATATCTGAAAAGTGTGGCGTGCATTTGTATTCAGCCCCCTGGAGTTAATACTTTGTAAAACCCCCTTTCGCTGAAATTACAGCTGCAAGTCTTTTTGGGGATGTCTCTACCAGCTTTGCCCATCTAGAGAGTGAAATTTTTGCCCATTCTTTGCAGAATAGCTCAAGCTCTATCAGATTGGATGGAGAGCGTCTGTGAACAGCAATTTTCAAGTCTTGCCACAGATTCTCAATTGGATTTAGGTCTGGACTTTTACTGGATCATTCTAACACATGAATATGCTTTGAACTAAACTATTACATTGTAGCTCTGACTGTATGTTTCGGGCCATTGTCCTGCTGGAAGGTGAACCTCCGCCCCAGTCTTAAGTCTTTTGCAGACTCTTAACAGATTTTTTTCTAAAATTGCCATGTTTTTGGCTCCATCCTTCTTCCCATCAACTCTGATCAGCTTCCCTGTCCCTGTTGAAGAAAAGCATCCCCTCAGCATGATGCTGCCACCACCATGTTTCACGGTGGGGATGGTTTGTTCCAGGTGATGTGCTGTGTTAGTTTTTCGCCACACATAGCATTTTGCTTTTAGGCCACAAAGTCCAATTTTGGTCTCACCTGACCAGAGCACCTTCTACATATTTGCTGTGTCCCCCATATGGCTTCTTGCAAACTACTTATGGCTTTCTTTCAACAATGGCTTTCTTCTTGCCACTCTCCCATAAAGGCCAGATTTGTGGAGTGCACGACTAACAGTTGTCCTGTGGACAGATTCTCCCACCTGAGCTGTGGATCTCTGCAGCTCCTTCAGAGTTACCATGGTCCTCTTGGCTGCTTCTCTGATTAATGCTCTCCTTGCCCGGCTTGTCAGTTTAGGTGGACGGCCATGTCTTGGTAGGTTTGAAGTTGTGCCATACTTTTTCAATTTTTGAATGATGGATTGAACAGTGCTCCATGAGATGTTCAAAGCTTGGGATATTTTTTTATAACCTAACCCTACTTTAAGTGTCTCCACAACTTTATCCCTGACCTGTCTAGTGTGTTTCCTTGGCCTTCATGATGCTGTTTGTTCACTAATGTTCTCTGACAAACATCTGAGGGCTTCCCAGAACAGCTGTATTTATACTGAAAATAAATTACACACAGGTGGACTCTATTTAGTAATTAGGTGACTTCTGAAGGCAATTGGTTCCACTAGATTTTAGTTAGGGGTATCAGCGTAAAGGGGGCTTAATATAAATACATACCACATGTTTCAGGCATTTATTTGAAAAACATTTTTGAAACCATTATCATTTTCCTTCCACTTCTGACAGAGCTTAAGCTATTTTGAAAAGAAGAATGGGCAAATATTTCACTCTCTAGATGTTCAAAGCTGGTAGAGACATCCCCAAAAAGACTGTAATTGCAGCTAAAGGTGGTTCTACAAAGTATTGACTCCGGGGGGTTGAATACAAATGCACGCCACACTTTTCAGATATTTATTTGTAAAAAATTTTAAAAACCATTTTATCATTTTCCTTCCACTTCACAATTATGTGCCGCTTTGTGTTGGTCTATCACAGCAATGGGCAAACTACGGCCCGGCGGACCTTTTAATCCGGCCCGGCGGACCTTTTAATCCGGCCCGCGGAGCGTGATACTGTCAGGATGGCTGTCAGGATGTGTGTAGGCGGGGCAGCGTGACGAACGTGAGGGGAGCTAGGCTCCTCTCACAGTCCGCCCTGAAGACCGGAACGGCGCGGGAACACGGCGAGAGGAACGCACGGAGCAAAGGTAAGTAAATTGAATTACTATAGGGGGAATGAATTACTATAGAGGGGATGAATTACTCTATGGGGGATGAATTACTATATGGGGGATGAATTACTATAGGGGGGATGAATTACTATGGGGGATGAATTACTATATGGGGATGAATTACTATGGGGGATGAATTACTATATGGGGGATTAATTACTATGGGGGATGAATTACTATGGGGGATGAATTACTATATGGGGGATGAATTACTATATGGGGGATGAATTACTATATGGGGGATGAATTACTATATGGGGGATGAATTACTATATGGGGGATGAATTACTATGGGGGATGAATTACTATATGGGGGATGAATTACTATGGGGGATGAATTACTATGGGGGATGAATTACTATATGGGGGATGAATTACTATATGGGGGATGAATTACTATGCTTACTATGGGGGAATATTACTATACTTACTATGGATGACACATACACATCATTCATCTACTCTTGGTCCGGCCCCCGGGTCCAATATATGAACCCATTGCGGCCCTCAAGTCAAAAAGTTTGCCCACCCCTGGTCTATCACATACAATCCCAATAAAATACATTTACGTTTGTGGTTTTAACATGACAAAATGTGGAAAATTTCAAGGGGTATAACTACTTTTTCAGAGCACTGTAATGACCACAGCGGGTGTGCAGACTTCAGAAGTCAAGCTAAAACGTTTCAGCAATAGAGTCCCCGAGAGATATAAGAAACTGTGAGGTTTAGATGCTCCAGCATCTACCAAACACTAAACTATCAGTTTTGAATGGACTGACCCTTTAATCATTTGTATTTCCAGATGAGAATGTGTTTGTTTACTGTACCAACAAATCTGTATTGTTGGATTTACAATATGTCTGCAGTCATTTCACCGCAATACCATTATATAGCTTGATTATGTATTAGTTTATTATCAGCTACCTGTCCATCACCTCCATTCGTTTCTCCACCAGGGATCCGAGCACCTCTCCACGCTGCGCCTATACAGCTATCGATTTCTCTTCTCTGATACTTTGTCCTTGTAAGTCATTTTGCGAGCAGCTCGCTGGCTAAGCCTTTGAAGTCAGCACAATCCATGATCTCTAACATCCTTCACAAATATGCATGCCCTCAGGGAGAGCGGACAAAGTTTAGCAATATATATTTGCAAAGAGTATGTGTTTATTCTACGTGTTCGTCCCTATCCCCGTCCCCATCACCGTAGATGTTACCAGCACGTCTTTGTCTTAAACAGATAATTGTTTTGACATTTGAGACAAGTTTTTGTATCGAGTGATAAACCATCAGTGCATGAACCACCAATGACTTTTTTTTTTTTTTGTGTGTGTGTGTGCCTTTGCTTGTAGTTACCGGCCTTTAATCCCACGGAGAGTCACACCATTGTCACTTTGGCTAATCAAGAAATCTTCCATCTAAAGAGATTATTTGCTTTCTTTATGTTGTCCCTTTCGTTCCTTGTCTTTATCGTTGCGCAAACAGAGGGCAAAGCATACTTTTACCGCCACGTCAGAGAGAGGGAGAGAGGAGGGCGGGCGATCACACTTGACGGAGCATCTTTGAAATGAATTATGAGAAGGGCTGCTATTGATCTGGCTTTTTTCAGGTCGCTGAGCAATAATTCCTAAGTGTTTATACAATCTATTGAAATCAATAAACAATTTAAACTGGTGTAGCCGCAGAATGTTTGCAGTGGCTGGGGAAAATTGAAAGTATGACAGTGAATACAGCTAAAGAAGTGTATTTTTATCATCAGAGCAAACGGGTCCCTTAATGAAATGTTTTTTTTGTTTTTTTTTTTTCTTCTTCTCTCCTTTGACATGACAGCAAAATCCCAGTTACAGGGACACGAAAAATAAAAAAGGGAGACGTTTTTTGTATTGTAAGGCTGTCAGGCTGTGACAATGGTGATTCAGTTTGTTTCTGGGCTGTAAAGCTGTGTTGTTGCTATTTCTGGTCTAATGTATGCAAATAAGGGATTATTCCATTAAGGCAGATGTATCTGTGCGCTAATGCTTGCCGTCATGCTCGCTATATGGCTTTGTAGTTATTGTGCAGCATGTTTAAAGGGATACAGGTAGGAGATCTGGAAGCCAAATATACAGGAAACAGTAGATCAGAAAATAATTGCTGATTTCCTGTAAACATCTCATAAACAGAGATCAGATCACCAAGCATTTTCTCCTACCGGTATTGTTTGGAACACATCTAACAACTTAATGAGAATGAGAAGATGAGAAGACAGTTTGTCTTTAAAGCTGGCCTAATTTCAGATGCCTGCTCAAAGCTGAAGTTTTATCTCTTCCACCTCATCAATATGCTAATGCAATTTTAAAATAAAACCTTTCCATTTATTTTACATGCTTTTTTTTAAGGCCCAGGGATTTCACCCCTGGTCCTCTGAGCTTCTCTATATGATGAAGCCACATCATGGCTGGTGGGAGGGGTCAGCAGGGTGTTGCACATAGCTTCCTAAAAACATCACAGCACCCTGCCTCAGTACATTTCTCCTGAGCCCTCAACTCTTATGTAATCAGTGGGCTGGCTCTTGGGAGGAATTCTGCGACCATCAAAATGCCTTTATAGGTGAATATCAGACTATTTGGGCAATCCTAGGAAGAATGTATTTGCATGCAGGCCACCCTAGGTAATGCCCAGATGTGATGCTGAGCCTCTGTGATTGAACAAACTGAAATACAGTAAATAAAGGGGTGGATTAGGGAGAGTCAAGCTGGTGACGGAAGGGCTAGAACAGTGGTCTCCAAACTGTGGCCTGAGGGCCGGATGCTTTGCTTCATTTTATCTGGCCCTTGGGGCATTATTCTCTCACTGTCATCAACTGTGACTGCGTGGGTTTGCTCTGGGTACTCCAGTTTCCTCCTACACTCCAAAGACATGCTGGTAGGTTAATTGGCTCCTGTCTAAATTGTCCCTAATATGTGTATGTATGAATGTGAGTTAGGGACTTTAGATTGTACACTCCTTGAGGGTCAGGGACTGATGTGAATGTACAATACATGTATGTAAAGTGCTGCGTAAATTGACGGCGCTATAGAAGTACCTGAAATAAATAATAAATAAACAGTGGGGCATAGTTCCTGCCACTGACCAACAATGGGGCACTATTCCTCCACTGACACCAACGATGGGGCACTAGTCCTCCCACTGACACCAACGATTATTCCTCCCACTGACACCAACGATGGGGCACTATTCTCCCACTGACACCAACGATGGGGCACTATTCCTCCCTGACACCAATGACACCACTGACACCAATGATGGGACACTATTCCTTCCCACTGACACCAATGATGGGGCACTATTCCTTCTGCTGACACCAATGATGGGGCACTATTCCTACTGCTGATACCAATGATAGGGCACTATTCCTCCCACTGACACAATGATGGGGCACTATTCCTCCCACTGACACCAATGATGGGGCACTATTCCTCCCACTGACACCAATGATGGGGCACTCTATTCCTCCCACTGACACCAATGATGGGGCACTATTTCCCACTGCCACCAATGATGGGACACAATTCATGGGGCATTTTTTACTGCCACTGACACCAGGACGTTTTCTACTCCTGCTGGCCACAGTCTGGCCCCCTTAAAGATTGAAGGACAGTAAACTGGCCCTTTGTTTGGAGACCCCTGGGCTAGAAGATGCTGGATGTCATCCAGTCATGAAATGAGGCAGGATCTATCTGACTTGCTGCAGCTTCTAATGCACAATGTGAGAAGCTCACCGTGTGAGTGAAATCAAAATCAGTAATTTTAGTACAGGAGGGGAACCTGTACAACTGTGCAAGATTGAAAGTAAGGCTGGGGTTCAGCACTAAAGCGGTTGTAAACCTCAGACATGAGGTTGTAAACCTCAAAAATGAACAAAGCATATCCCTCTATAGTGTGTACTTGTCTCAATCAAGAGAGCACTAAAGTGTCATTTCTGTCTTCTGCTTTGTTCCTCTGCTATCAGCATGAATCACTTCTGACACGTTTTATTGACACCAAGAGAAAAATGGTGACAAGGAGGGACCTCTAGCAGAGTGACAGCCTCAGCTCTGTTCTTGTGTGCCATGTGGAGGGGGGTATGTCTCTTCCCTCCAATCAACTCTCAGAGCTTTCCTCACTGAGATCTGCAGAATGTAACTTCAACTCTCCCCATTTTTTCTAAACTCTCAGACAAGCTTATAAATTCTCAACTTTGAACAGATGTAGAGAAGAGATGACTGTAGATAAACAGGTACAACTTATGTAGGAGGATTTGTATCATCTCTGTGTATCAACTGAGGCCAGTCACTTCACTGAGTATATGTAAGGGCTTACAACTACTTTAACCTCCTTGGCGGTATGATTCTTTCCGATTTTTTGTGCTGAAAGCGGTACCATTTTTTTGCATGGAAATATGTCGTTTTTTTATTGTAGGCTGTAATTTTTAGGAATAACTCACTGAAATCTGTACGAACAAGAGTCTATTAAACATTCCGGATATGATAAAATTTGAAACACGAAATCATAATTTATAATTTAATAAATAATCATAAAAAATAATAATATAATAATAAATTTAATTCAATAATATAATCAAACCAAAAACACTGAAATTTGAAATACAGAGGCAAATTCGCACATCGCTGAGCAAAGTCGCAAAATTGTTTTCAGTGTCTGATGACGAATTTCCCCACGAATCATTATCACTCAATTCTGCAAGTGGTTCTGATTTACTATCGCTGTTCTAAAACCGCTTTTGACGTAAAGGGACGCTTTTTGGACGCCATGGACTTTTTTAAGTTTCCAGGCAGAAAGAACATTCAAAATGCAGGCAGGGCACAGGACAAAGCAGAAGGGACAAAATGTATGTGAAATGCATTGAAACAGCAATGACAGCAAAAATGACATTTTTTAAAAATTTCAAATTTCCCACCGGTTCCGGCGCCCCGTACGTCCCGACGTCACAGGGACCAGAACACAGAAGCCGGATGCCGGCATCGGCCAGAGGAGATGGCCGGGGACGCTGCAGGGGACACATTGTGGGAGCGAAGGACAAGGTAAGTGCTGCAGGAACCCCCAGAGCAACGCCACATGGTAAGCCCGAGTGTAGCTCGGGGTTACCGCTTTTGGTATAGAAATTTTACCCCGAGCTACACTCGGGAATACCGCCAGGGAGGTTAAAGCTGTGTTAACAGTGTTGGGATGGATAAAAAGCAACAAAAAGGCAGATATATTTATGTTTACTGAAAATAAAATGCTGCTTAAGCTTTCTTCATGTGTTAGGTAACAAGACGCCCAGGCTCCTTGCTACATCCCTTGTTGATCCCTGCAGAGGAGGACGATCCAGCAATAAAACTATATTCTACTCCCCCATTAACATAAATCACATGACAATATTCTTAGGCTTTTAGTTATGTAAATACCACAGGAGGAAAGCTGGAGCAGATTATATTCAAGGAAAGTATTTCATGTTTTAATACTTTTTATCCATCACACCAAGACAGTTAAAGAGCCCGTGTCACCGGTAGGAAACGGGGGGGGGGGGGGGGGGGGGGGAGCTGCTGCTAGGGGTGTTTGCACATTTCTGTAGCAGCTTCCTTATCTACCTTAGAGAAAATGGAATGGAGATTCTGACATTTGGTTTGTCCTTTTATTGTAAAGCCGGCCATAGATGGATGAAATCTCAGCCTGTTCAGCAGGAACCAGCTGAGATTCGATCCAGGTATGAGCAGGCTGGTTGTACTGAAGTCACTCCATTAATTGACTTCAGTACAACCAGCCTGTCGGATTTTGTTCATGCAATCACTGCTGGCAGCTATAGTGACCAACAGTGATCGTTGTGTTCTGCTGGCAGGGAAGGCTCTCCTTCCGGAAGAACACAATAGAGCTACGGTAGGGATTCCCCCATCAACTCTGACTGTGTTGATGGGGGAATCAAGCTATTTTCTTTCTCTTCATTCATGGTGGAAGGAAAGAAAATTACTAAAAAAATTGGGCTACTTTACAGTTATGAGATTAAGATGGATTATCTGGATTATAGGCAGACACCGTCTCCACACCAGAAGATGTACTCTGCCCATCTGGCTTGTAACCAAAATTAAAGCACCAACCCAATTTAAATATCCACATCTAGATTTATTCTAAAATGAGATTTAAAAAAATGCTCATCAAAGAGAACCAAGTATAAATTTATAGTGCTAAGCAGTTTGTATGGAATGGGTTGCAGACAAAAAGAAAAGCGGTAGAATAGATCTCCTAAAGCAAAGAACACTATACCCCCCAGCAACAATAGATCTCCCAGCAGCCAGCATGAATAGAGCCTCCAGCAACAGTAGCCCCTCCCTTAGCAGTAGCCCCCCCCCAGCAACCATTGACCCTCAGCAACATAAGATCCCCACTAGCAACAACAAATCCACCAACAGCAGCAATAGACCCCTGCAACAATAGATCCTCTTCGCCACTATATACAGTGCTGCTGAAAAAACACCCTGGTCTTTAGGAGTGAAGGTTGTACTTGGAGGACTCTAGCCAAAGCCCCTATAGGCTCCATTTACACTTGTGTGACTTAAAAATTGTGCAGTTTTCATAGCGACTTTACAGTGCGACTGGATGTGATATTTAGATGAGTGCGACTTTGATGCGACACAAGTCGCATGTATATCGTTCAGGTGTAACTTTCATGCGACTTTGGATGGTTTACTTTGAAGTGCATGCCTGCAAAATCACGTATATATACGTGGTTTGCACTACCCAATAGCAGCCACGGCTGTCAATCACTGGGTCCCAGCCGGTGATTACTCACCAACAATCGGTGATTGCCTAGCATCTTTGTCAGGGGGAAGAATTGTTAAAAAACAAAACAGTTCTCCCGGTCAGCTCGCGCACACTGCTTTGCATGGCTGTGCACAGCACAGCCATGCAAAGCAGTGTGCTTACAGTGATGCACACAGTAAAACAGCATACAGTTAACCCTTTGATTGCACCACATGTTAACCCCTTCCTGTCCAGTGCCATTAATACAGTGTCAGTGTTTTTTAACACTGATCACTGTATTGGTTTCACTGAGGAAGTCGGTGAAACAAAATCAGTTCCCCCCCAGTGTCAGATTGCCCACCGCAGTCCCACTGTAAGTCGCTGATCGCCGCCATTACTAGTAAAAAAAATTAAAAAATTTAAATACCAGTATATATACCGCCATTTGTAAATGCTATAACTTTCACGTAAACCAATTAATTTACATGTATTGGGATTTTTTTTTAGCAAAGACATGTAGCAGAATACATTTTGATGTAAATTTATGATGAAATTTGATTTTTTAAATGTTTTTACTGGACATGTTTAATAGCAAAAAGTCAAAAATATTGTTTTTTTTCTCAAAATTGATGGTCTTTTTTTTTTAATTTTTCGCCCAAAATTAAAAACGGCACAGGCGATCAAATTCTACTGAAAGAAAGCTCAATTCGTGGGGAAAAAAAAGGATGTAAATTTCATTTCAACTGACCGTGCACTTGTCAGTTAAAAGTAATGCAGCACCGTAACGCACAAAAAATGGCCTGGTCAGGAAGGGGAGTGAAGCCTCTGTAGGGCAAGCAGTTAACAAACGTTGTTTCAGATTCCTACCCTTTGTTATTCTGAAGAAATAGCTGTCTGTTTGTCTGTGTCCATGTGTAGAGTAAATCTGTATGGGAGTGATTTCATAATTATCAATCAGCTGCTGCGTCTGCAGGGCTCTAATGAGGAAAGTGGCAGGGTCTGCATCCCTTTATAAGTGATTTCCCTTTGGGAGTATCTCACCAGAAATGACATTTTTGTTGCAGGAGATGCCAAAAATTTTACTTGTATTTTAGTGCCAGACTTCTGGAAAAATCAGTGAGCCAATCAGTAAAGCAGGAATTGACATTTCTGGGGGTATTCTGTACACCATTTGTGTACAGAACTCCTCCAGGTAGCCATATTGCATTACATTTTACAGAAAATTACAGCGCTGCCGATTGAAAAAGGAAAGGTAATTTTTAATAACATTCAATTACTTGAGTTGCAAGTATACGCTATATATTTTTTTTAATTTGCTAATTTTTTTTCCCACAAAAGTGGAGATACCCTTTAAAGTTTTTATTTTTTTTGCATCTATTAACACGGTAGTAAACCGCCCCAAAAAATTCCTATAAAATCTCCCTGCAAGTTAAGAGCATGCTGTGCTAGTATGCATCGCATTCTAGAACATTATGAAAGACTTACCTGAAAACGAAGCCCTCCAGCGGAGCACTGTCACGGCTCCCCAGGGCTTCCATCTTCACCCGATGCGAATGGTCAATCCGCGATGTCGTCACTCCCACGCATGCATGAACGGAGTTTCGGCACGCTGTCCATTGAGTGCGCAGTGCGCATGCGCCAGTGACATCACCTGCGCTTCTACAGCAAATATCTCCTAAACAGTGCACATTTAGGAGATATTTACAATACCTACAGGTAAGCCTTATTAACCACATGCCGCCCAGCCACTGTATAAATACAGTGGCAGGGCGGCACGGCTGGGCAAAACCACGTTTTAAACCGTGTTTTGTAAACAGGTAGGGGGCGCACCGCCGCCCTACCTGTCCCGCCGGT